AGCAGGGTCCTGACTCTTGTCAAAGAAGTGACCACGCAGCGTTTCGGGCATAGCCCGGTAGAAAAGGTTGACCAACTGGGTTTCCGTGACCTTGTGGTCAGGAACAGCCACCAACTCATCCATTGTGCCCTCGAGTGCCCTTGCACTCTTCCATTGGCGCGAGTGTATTGTCTGAAGCCTATTTGAAGCTTTGACACTACGGGCAACATCAGCGAATCGCTCTCGCAGCAGCTTCAAGAATTCAATGAGGAACGTAAACGAGGAGTACGCAACTGGATCGTCACTACAGTTGGCAGCACGAACAAGGGATCTCGCGAAACTGGCGGCCGCGTCTCTAAGTGCATGGATCGCAATTAAGACCTGCTGATCCGAGGAGACCTGTTGCAAATGCACATAGGTCTTAACATTGGCCTCCCAATTGTCAAAGTTCTCTTCCCTTTTCCCAGTGTAGGAATCAGGGAATTTGACTTTGACTGGCTCCCTGCGAGGACGGGCCTCCTCCTCCTTGGGAGCGGCCACCTTGACGCCTTCGATGGCGCCGACACAAAAACGCTCAGTCTTCTCGAGGCGATGACTCACCTCGGATCCCACARCKCCTACTAGTTCGCGASCAAARTCCCGTAATCCCGTTCGYATCGAASGCACGGATATCTCCTGGCTGCGACTAAACTCATAGTGCTTTTCTTGCACTTTAGCTAACCGGTCAACGCTCTGGGCGATGATCTCCACTTTGCGTTGGAGATCTACTTGCGGAGTCAATTGTGTTGTTAAGGCAGTCCTCACCTCCGCTAGTTCTTGCATTGCTGCATTCGCCGCCTCCACTCTTCTTTTCTTCTCCCTAATCACTGCGAGCTTCCACGCCATCCTCTGTTCATCCTCCGTCGCCCGCCGCGTCAGAACATCTTCTTCTGCTTCCCATTTCTTCATGGCGGCTTCTTGCTCATCCTGGGGGATGTACATAGCAACCTCTTCCTCCTCACCCAGGGATAAGTTGGCGACCCACTCCGAAATCTTCTTCTCCATCTCATCACTGCTGCTGCCGCTGTGCTGCCCACTCTTTTGCAGTGGCGGTCCTTCCTCTTCTTCATCCACCTCCTTCAGCTTCTCTTCTTCTTCCTTTTTCAGCCTCTCTTTCTCCCTGGCCATCTCTTCCTCCATCTTCTTCAATTTGGCCGCCTGTTCCTCTTTCAAGGCCTTCTTCTTGGCCTCCTCCTTCTCCTTTCTCTCCTGCAGGATGGCGGCCATCTTCTCCTCCTCCTCCTTTGTGTATGGCTGGGTGGAAGTACCACCACGAGTGGGCCCTACTCTACACGCAAAGGTGGGCCAGAAGCCCAGCGGAAAGAGGAGACGCCAGAAGGTCCCCCAGAGGGAGAACCCAACAAGTAGCCCATACATCGGATAGTCGTCCAACGTGGTGTTGGTGCACGACAGGGGTCCCACTCCTTACCACGTAGACCTACCCGGACACACTGACCTACTGACTGACTCTCTAAGGACCACAGGGTAAGACCCTGTCAACTATGGTCACTAACCCAAGACTACTCTAAGGCTGTCACTACAGAACCAGCAGCTGATCTGGAGGCATTTAAGGAGATCCCCCG